AAATTCGATATTATTCTTTTGAGTTCTCTATTTGATAACACATAATCCTACCTCAATTTAGTATAAAATAATATTAAAAAATTATAAAGAATATATTTAAACAACTTACCATACATGTCACGCAATTTTTGACTTTTTGTGTGTGTAAAATTAGACCTTTTAGCCTTTAGGCATAAACCCAACAACCTGCAAAAGTGAAGCTTCACAATCACAAATAAATTGACAATATAAAGATAAATAAGGAATATGAAAGAACATAAAGAAACATAGACATTGAATGTATTAATTGCTCAATTTAATTAGATTACAATTATTGTTCAATGTTCACTCATGAATGGAAAAAAGAGCAAAACGGATGTAAAGGGTAAAATGTATTAATTATTTGGTTTAACTAGAAATAAAAAGATTCATTAAATTAATGATAATGACATTTGAGCTTTCTAAATTAATGTAATTAAGATATAATTTGTAGGTTTTTAAATAAATTATATAAATGTAAAAAAATTAAGAAAAATGTCAAAAAAAAATGAGAAAAAATATATATGTCATTCTTGGCTTTAGAAGAATGCCACATCACCTCTCCTACATCTAGCTTTATTATATATATAGATTGTTTTTGGATATTGCATAACCAATTAAGATTGTTTTGTGTTTTAGTAGAATCAATTGAAGTTTATATTGGGAAATGTTTGTGTTTTCTACGTTACTTCCTTTGTTGTAAGTTATTTGTGTTTTACTAGAATTAGCTAACGTTTATAGTGGGAAATGTTTGTGTTTTCTACGTTACCTAATTCTTTTGTTCTAATTATTTGTTATGCGTTTCTTTTTCATCTATTTAAAAAAAAAGTTTTTTTCCTGTTTTAGCAACACTTTATTGATGTTCATATTGAAGTATTGTTTACGTTACATTCATACACGTATTAGTAATGCATGATTTAATTACTTATATATTAGTTTTTTTTTTTGTTTACCTTGAACGTGAAGATACTTAGGCAACACGTACGCATTAGTTAGAAAGGAACATGTTGCTCCTTCCTGATTTCTTCCTAACTAGCAATCGAACAACTTCTGAATTTGATTGTTCTCTAAACTTAGTATAAACATGAAATGCTTTGGACAACAAATAAAACTATCTTTTTATAATTGTGTTTGGATACAGCTTAAATCAATCAAGATTGTTTAGTATTTTATTAGAATTAGTTGAAGTCTATAATGGAAAATGTTACTCCGTATTTTCTACATTACTTCCTTTGTTTAAATTTTGTTTATCTTATATTCTTTTTTTAAAAAAGTTTTTTTTTTTTTTTTTTTTACTTTAGCAACTCTTTATTTTCAACTACAATAACCACATGAGGATAAAGGTGATTAGATGCGTGTTGTATTCAATTTTGGTTCCTCGTAGAAAATGAAACACCACCATTGGTTGTATGTACAAAACAAGTAAAAAATTAATTGGAATGGAATCTGAATCACATGCAATACCAATAACAATGAGGATGTGGGGGGTTGAATGACATTAGTGGAGCCACATGAATGGATAAGATCTTTTCATTCGGCTTTTTTAAATGAGATTATTTTTTTATATTTTGACATTTTTTAGAAAAAAATTTCGTTTTATCGAATTCCTCCACTTTTAACTATTATATCGATTTTGAGCTAGTGATAACCAAAAAAAAGGTACAAAAGATATTTTTGAACTATGTGCAGATTAATAGTTTCATCGTCAAATTATTGATAGACTCAAAAATATTTTTCTACTTGACTAATTAAACTTTGATCTGCCACATAACATAGAAAATGGTCTCAAATCCTTTAGGAGCATGATGCTCTTAATAAAAAGCCAAGGGAAGTGTTGAAAACCACTCCTAAACTTGATGAGAATTTAGAAATGTATTTCACTCATATTACAAGATCGGCGTGTATTTAAATTAAGTTAGTCAAGTAAATAGGTGTTCTTAAGGTTGTCAATAGTTCGAGGATGAAACTAATAATTTGAGCCGATCTTAGGAGTGTTTTCAATACTTTGAAAAAAATTATGTTAAAAATTGTTTACCCCTTAAATGAATTTAACATAGTGCGAATTCGAATTGGTAGAAACTTTATGAAAATATCGAACCTCGAATGTTAAACACAAGAAGAATAAAATGTAGTGAAAATTGGATGAAATAGCAAACTATGAATTCAAATTAAATGCTATAGCCATAGTTTCTTTTTTGTAACTCGCAGCAAATATTTCATTTTTTTGCCATCCCATTTATATACCGAAATATACAAATGCAGGACCGATTTGTATACTGAAATATACAAATAGAGTCAAATACATCTTTTTTTATGTATACCGAAATATACACAATATGACTTTTATATTTGCTAAACCTAAAATTTACTCTAAAATCTATGCTTTAAAAAAAAAAACAACGCCGCTGCCGGGGATCGAACCCGGGTCACCCGCGTGACAGGCGGGAATACTTACCACTATACTACAACGACCTGGTTGTTATATTTGTCCAGCTATATATATTTGTCCTACTTTTAAGGAAACTACTCATTATTTTCAAGCATTTTTACCAACTTACTTTTAATCAAAGAACAGTTAATTATAACTAAACAAGGGTAATTTTGAAAGAATTAAGATCAATTCTTTCTTGAAATTCTAAATTACCATTCATTTTAAAATAAAATGAAAAAAGCTAAAACGACAGTTAGGTATTTTCAACCGGATGAAGTGTATGAAATTGTACGAGTGTTATCTTATCTGAAATCCAAACGACATAACGAATATGACACAAACTTTTCTCATCAAATGGATAGATTTTTTTGGTCCCAAAGTTTGATGTATCCTCGCAAGAAGCTGCTAAAGTCAGACAGACACATAAATACAAACTTAGGAATGACAATTGGCAGGCCCAGGGGAGGATTTAGCCAATAACTTTTGCACGGATCTTATACTTCAATTGAAAAAATCCATTAGATATATAAGAAATACGACATGAGAATCCATTAAAAGAGTGTTATTGGTTCAGTGACACAGAAAATGAACCTTTTAAGTGCAAACTTGTGAAATCTGAATAATTGAATCTAATCTCCTCAGGTGCTTAAAACTCGCGTGTGTAAAACACATTAAAAATCTTCATTCTTATACTTAAATGATTTTGCCAGTGTAAGCAAATTTCTTCACATCTAACAATCGAAGATATATTTTTATACATAAATGTATAACAACATTTTGAGAGAATTTGAGTTTTTAGTCCAAAATATTGTGGTGAATGTTGTTGCCAGCCTTTGAAATAGTGAGATAAAGCATAAATGATTCAACATTGCAGTAAGTGACACCAGAGTCCTGACCTTTCCAGTAGTTGGTTCAAAGTCATTAACAATCACATCGACAATGAGATTTAAACTTTGTCCCAAGTCCCTCCTGAACAGAGATAAAACATGGATCAAAGGAAATCAGAAAGACGCACAATACATTAATCAATCAACATAATATAATACATAATTGAGCACAATTCTGCAGAAATAATCAAGGGATCAATGAAGTTGCAGAGATGGATAACGCAAAGTCGAACAGTGTTCCATTTCATGACACATGATGCCCAAACCCCAGGATATGATACAGAGATGTCAAGGCTAATAGTGGTGGAGGTTCTATCATGCTTTCCCAAAAATTTAATTTCCACACACTACCAACCAAAATGCATGTCTTATTCAATAATGAGATATACAGAAACTATGACAATTGCATTCCAAATGGGTATTGAGTTACTTGCACAATATTGGGTTACAATCTTTGTGACGCCCAACGATGCATTTTGAGTTTTAAAGCACGACTAATCTGAAAAGATTTTAAAAGAGAGAAGATTCACATATCTTAAACACTAGTGTGCACTTAAACGGTCTTCAAACTGCAATTTGTGAACCTTTTTAATAAGTGTGGTGTCCAGGCCTGCTTGCACGTAGCTAGACTAATTCCAAAGGATACCACTCACCTCCCACCAGTGATATGTACATGGTAACTCTGTCCAAGGCCAGGACTGATGGGAAGAAATCACCTAGTGTTTTTGACTCTGTTAGGATTTGAACATGAGACCTCATGGTTCTCAAACCTACTTCCTTGACCACTAGGCCACACCCTTTGGTGCACTGCAACTTGTGAACTAGAGCATGAAAAACTTCAAACAACTTCAGTTTTTCAAAGATTAAAAAAAAAAATAGATTTAGGTTTTAAACTTTTTAAAATTAGAGGAACTTGGCAACTGTGGTTACTATTACAGAGGTTCAGCCATGAACCAGTTTTTGCTCTCAATCTCCAAAACTTCTTTTTACAGTAAAAATTGAAACAAAAACAGAGATTTCTAGGTTACCAAGAAGCATTCAAGGGACTCAAAAAGTTGTTGACTTGAAAATATGTACTCCATCTTTCGTAGAGTTTCATCATAGTGGTTGCAACCAGACCTCTGCAATTTTGGGGTATCAATCAATTATACTTGGGAAAAAGATTGTTTCTAGAGAAGAAAGTTCAAATGAAATTATACCAGACAAAAGTCATTTGTACTTCTTTTAGCATGCCTAAACTGCCATACTAAAGACAAAGAGACATTCAGGAAGTGGATACCACACCCCAACCCAGAAACACAAAGAAGGAAAAAATATCAAAAACCATCACATTCAAAAGTAAAGAGAAAAAACATTCATAGGCTGAATTTAAATAATAAGCCAATCCACGCACCAAAATGTCAGATGATATTGCAAGCCACCAGGAACTTCCTTGAAGTCTATACTCTCTGCCTGCAAGCAATCACACTGGTAAGACCCGCTCAATGTGATGGTCCATTCGCTTAGCTTATGAACCATACATAAGGAAATAACACATGAAGCTTCATCTAACAAAAACACTATTACGGAGAAAAGTGATTTGGCAAAATGATAGAAGTACAACAATCACATCTCTTCATCTTTTGCTGATATTTAAACAGGAAGGATAAAACCACATACAAAGGGAAATCGTCAGGACGCCATGTCGTTTGGACTGAAACTTCCCAGTAAGAGGCGTTTTTATCAGGATACATCAATTTTCTGTTGTCTTACTAACAAAATATCTCGAATCCTGAAAATGAAGAGGTTCATTCCCCCAAGAAGTCCAGCCAGCTATCATTTCTCTAGCGAATAGTTCAACGCAACGAGCAGGCATAGACCCCGGCACATAATCTAGCAGCAGCTCTAATCCATGTGGATAAGAGAAAAATTATAAGACAACAATTCTTACGGTAAATAGTAGAAAATATCAATAATGTGTCATCCCTAGCCGTGCCCTCTATCCCAACCCAGAAAAGTAAAAACCAACTGAAAAGGGGGAAAAAGGGAAAAACGACATTATTCGAAAGGGGGGAAAATCAAAGGAGGACCAGAAGGGGTTGCAGCTTTGATATATTACAGGTTACCTCCAATGGGGGGTTTCCTTGAATAATCACCAGGAACACTAATGAACACTCGATTATCTGGTATAGGATTCAATCTTGTTGAATTCCCAGAATGTGTATCCTGCAAAGACATGTCAAAGTGAAGAAAAGAGTAAGCTTTAACAAAGGCAACTTCAAGACATGGGGCAAGCTAACCTTTCCGTCACAGTAACCTAGGAGAAGACATTCATATGGTCGGTGATGAAAGAGATCCAATTCACCAGTCAACATTCCATTGGCCTTGACCTGTAACAAAAATCAACATAGATACCTAAGCGCATCCTTTTAAGACAATATACACTATTCATCAGTGTTTTTGAAATTCCTCATCCCTCTCCCTACCCCTCTCCTCTCTCAGATAGAAGGTGGCTTAAAGATAACCTCAGAGTTGTGGACAAACATGATACCTTCAACCAGTAAAAGCTAGCAGCATATGTTACTCCCCATTTGGGAAATAAATCATTTTCCACAAAATCTCGCAACTTCTCCCTGTTGGTAACCCACAACGCAACAAGTGCTCCAGAGGTATGACAAAGTTGCTTGACGGGGAGAGATAAGAAGTATCGGTTTGGCAACGTTGGGTACCTGCAACCACATTTAGTTGCATATTGAATAGAACTATAGAAATCTACAACACAGACCTTCAAGCCTAATAGTTTCAGCTTCTAATATATTAGTCAGACAAATATTGACCCAATCTAATCAATCAGAGGAAATCACTTGCAATATATTTGTTCAACTACCCTCCTAAGTCCATCTACTGCCTACCCCACCCCCAAAATTCAAAGAGAAACGTTTTCCTGTACTCTGTAGGGTATACAGGGCATGAATTGTTCCTCAACTGACAGTCTTTGGAAAAAAAAAAACTTTGCAGAAGTGGAACCCCAGAAAATAAATGCTAGGCAAGGCAAGCTAAAAATCCAGAAACAAGAGAGACAAATCAGAGATAGGATTAACACACACCTCACTTTCTGACGAGCACTGCCATTTTCCCAAGGGGGGTCTATAACTATGAGATTGAAGCCACAATCAGAACCAGCTGAAAAAGAAAACACCAAATCAGAGTTTAAGCAGATGGCTCCCATATTCTAACTTATGCACGAACCATGAAACTACGTAATAAGTTTGGCAGGAAATGAGGATTTCTGCCTTTAAAATGGATACTTCCCAAGACATTGCAGATCCAATGGAATTTAATAAGCATTTTCTCTGGACAGCAGATCCCCGCTCAAACACGGAGACAAAAGGATCATAGCTCATTACCTGGGATTAAGCTGTCAATCTGCTGCATATCAGACTTCAAGACACAAGACCAATAAAATGCAAAAGTCAGATTTGAAATCCCATGCAGATAAATTAGATTTAAAGAACCAAAACCAGAAAAAGAACAGAACAGATAGCCGTTAGTAAACCCAAATGATTCTGGTCTCTGGATTTCAAATTTCATGAGAGAAAATAAAAGAGCCTTTCACAGAAACGAAAATATCAAATTTCACTTGCATGAACCAACAATATAAAGTAAATAATGAAACAACTAAAGAAGCATCTGCTTTGTATCATACCATATAAAAACAACTCCTTTTGGGAATAATATACTTGTGATTAAAAAGTTCAGCCTCTATATCATAGCTTCCCTCATTGGCAACCAGATTATTAAATACAGGGGTCACTTTTTGTTCAATACTCTGAGCAAGCGGAAAACCTGAAAACCACACAGAAGACAGTTAGAAAACATAGCCAGCCCAGGACTACGAGAAATAAGCTAACAATTTACTGAGATTTTATTGAAATGGATAAAAAGTAAGCCTTGGCACAACAGTGAGTTGTTCCTTGATGACCAGTAGGTCACGGACTCAAAGTGCGGCAACAGTCTCTTTTGCAGACATGCAAGGGGAAAACTGCATACAGTATTCCCGCTCTCACTATCCCCACAGTGGTCAGAGGGCATTCGGGCATGAGCTGAACGCCTAAGCTTCTTTTTTTTTTTTAACTGAAATGAACTGTAAGTTTCTTGTAAAGTAAAGCAAACCTCCATTTTGGAAAGTTTTATCATCTTGCTGATAATTGAGAACAATCTCACACAAAGGAGCTTGCCAAACACCTCCGAGCTCCATAAAGGAAAGTTCACTACTTTCCTGCGATAACTCCTTACATTCCCCCACAGAACATCCATCATTCCTCAAATTTCTCAAAACTTTCAAAAGATCAGTAGCTTCGAGCAGAGCTTCATGCGCTTTCAACAAGAATGGCTTCACCTCCTTCAATACAATTAAATGTCACACTTAATGCACAGAAAATAACCTGCTCTAAATTGAATACAGCAGGTAAACTTTTCTGAAAATGAAACTGTTATTCCTTGACCAGGGAGTAATGCGAGCTGTGTTTTCAGTAGTTTTCCTCCTCACCATTAACTAGAAACTTTTATATGTCAAATTTAAGAGTTAATTTGTCAAAAACACACTTGAATTATCACATTTTTGCGAGCTATCAGTTATTCACTTTTTCTACCTAAGTAACATCAACTATTTATCAAAGCACACCTTAGCTAGCAATTGTTCCCTTTTTCTACCTGCAATATCACCATCCTTCATGCAGGAAAAGGAACAACTTATATTTGAGGTTGTTTCGATAAACATTAGGTGATATTTTAGATAGAAAACTCACACGCATGATAGTTCATATATGAAACTTGAAAAAACATGAAATTTAATGGTACCTGGTGACGACGATCGGCGATTTGTTCGCGCTCGTTGAGAGATTGAATCTTCTTCTTCCTCTTACGTTTTCCTTTTCTAGAATCTTCGGAAGCTTTTGGAGATTGTGCTGAGTTCAAGGAATCGAAGAAGCGAGAGTAATACGTAGAAGGCGAAACCCTAAACCGGGTATAAGAACGGTTGAGGATTCGAACCGGGTCGATGAAGAAGGCATTTGAGTTCAGCTCAGAAACCCCTGATTCCATCAACTGATTCTCTTCCATCTTCAGAATTGGGGAATTGTTCTGCTTTCCGGTTCATCGGACAAATATCGGCGGGAAGGGGGAAGCGGAAAAGTTTGTTTATTTGCATTTTGGTACCCATATTTTCTTAGATGTACGTTAAAGTCCCTAAAAATGTTTTCTTTTCACTTCCCGACCCTACTTCTTATTTATTTATTTATTTTCTTCCATTAATTAATACTAATACTAATAGAAGATCAATACAAAATTGAAAATTAGATATGAATATGAATTACATCCTAGTTTTTTTTTTATATAGAGATTTTTTGTTTTTTCATATAAGAGAGATTTATCAATTTTCTCGATAAATAATAAAATAGAGAGACTAAATTTGATTTCAAGAAATGGACATGGACATTATTTTTTTTTTTAATTAATTAAATATATTACTTGAGTTGGAGTAATATAGATTCAAATTTTATCTCTCTCACTTGTTTGCTGTGATTTTAGAGAAGAGAAAAAAGGTATTTGTTAACGTAGGTAGACTAATTGAGTGAAGAACCTTTTTTTTATCATGTCGTGAAGTGAAGCGAAATTATATAAGAAAATTCTCAATCCCAACTAGCTTCAATTTAGTTAAATAGATCAAACAGTGATATTGATCGTTTATCCATTCATGATCGCTGACCAATCTACTAACCTATCAAATATTGATCAAGGTTATTTTCAATCTCTTTCTTAGTCATTTATCAATTCAATATTGGTAATAAACTTCCTTTTCAATTGGTCAATTTCTTAATTCGGAGAAAATTAAGAAAAAGGAAAACGATGGTCATTTCATGCATCTAATCTCTTTTTGATCATTAGTCCTTCCATTTCATTTAAGAAAAAGGAAATCTTTCTACACTCTCTTTGACCATTAGTCCTTTCGTCTCATTTTATGTGACACTTATATTTAATCTGTTCTAATAAAAATATTATTTTATTATAATTAAAACTAATTTAATTTGACAAAATTTCTTTTATCCTTGATGAAACGATTTAAGTCAATCGATATCACATAAACTAAAACAGGTAAAATATTTCTTTTTGGACCATTAATATTAGTATCATTTCGTTATTCCATTGGTCAAACAACACTATACAAAAGAATAAGACATGTAACCGAATTGACAAACTTTTTTCTACTTTATTTCTTTTGCCTTTTGAAGTAATTATTAATACCAAAGTATAATCATATTTTTGTTTGACGATTAGGAGTCCGTTATGTTACATCAAAGTACATAAAATAATAATGGACCAAACATCATTGAAAAAAAAGGCCAAACACATATACAACCCCTCTAACTTGCCCTCATTTTCCATTTTGACACTCCAACTTAGCCTTGTTCCAGTTTAACCCTTAAACTCCATTTTTTATGTACCATTTAAACACGAAATATTATTTTTATGATTTCTTTATTTTTATATATACTAGTATACGTACCCGCGTGTTGCACGGATATTTAAATTAAAAATAAGTGATAAAATTTACTATGTACTTTGTAGTGTATTATTAACAATTTAATACTTATATTATTAAAATTAAAATATTATGTTTATAGTTATAATTAGCTACATTTTTTGTTTTTAAATATGTTTTGCTGAAATTTTAATAAATATAATATTAATTTTTTTGTTTATTTTAGTTTGATTAAAAAAACAACTACTTTATGTGTTTTTACATGTTTGATCTATTATTTTTAATTATGGTTAATTGAAATAATATTATATCCTTGTTAGTAAGTTTTAAAATCTAACTTTCACATGAAATGATTAAATATCAAATTGTAGGCACGATATTCAAATTTTTAAATTTTATCTTTCTATTTTTGTAAAACTCATGTATCGATTACATGATATTTTCTAAAGATCATCTAAATATAATAATATTTTATTACTAAATAATGTTTACATTTTCAAATCAATTTCATAAAACACATTGAATAGAAAAGCTATATAAAAAGGTTAATCCTATAAGATGTAGTTGTTATTGAAAGAAAAAATCATTAAAAAGAGAGGCAAATCAGTGAGGAAAAAAAGTCATTGTATATGTATTTTTCACAATTTACAATCAAATATAATTTGTAGTTACATTATCAGTTATATTTTTCAAATTTATTAATTTTATTGTCTAACACATATTCTAACAATTGACATATTTTCATAAATCAAGTATAAAGAAGCATGGAAATTTTTAACATACTTTAAATAAAAATTACATATCAAAAAAATATTCATAAGTTTTTGTTCTTTCATATATGAATTTTCAATCAAAAGAATCACAAATTAAAATTGAAATACATAACTAAAGAAAACTAATAAATTTCATCACCCCATAACCAAAAAGAACATTCATCATGTTTTATCTACATAATCCAACTATTTTACAATGAATCTCCTTCACCAATGGAGGAGTAACATATCTTACTTTGATATTAAAAATAGTCATAAATCATACATTACAAAAATTAAAAACACAACTATTTTTATTTATATATAACATAAATAGAAAAAATAAGGCCAAACACGATTTTTTTTTAAAAATAAACAAATTTACATTCCTAAATTTTAGGCCTACAAATATTGTAAAATGAAAAAGATAAATATGAATTGTAGAAGAATCCATCGTATATGAGAGCAGTTATTTCAACCACATATTTAAACACAGTTAGTTAATTATTATTTTTGTTCCTCTTTTGATTTTATCTTCTTCTTTTTCTTTGTTTAAAATTGAAAAATAGCCTTTTCCTTTTAAAAGATTTTTAGATTTTAATATTTTAAAAAAAGACTCCATCGTGTGTATGTGGAGTAATTAATTTAGCTATGTATTTAAATATAGTTAGTTAGCATTTTTTTTGTAACTGTTATGATTTTATCTTATTCATTTTTTGTTTAAATTAAAAAGTATCCCTATCTTCTAAAATATTTTTAGTTTTTAGTTTCATATTTAAAATTTATTTTGTTAATTAAATATAAATTATGTGTTAAAAGACTCCATTAGTTATTTTAGCCACATATAATATTTTATTTTTCCTTTTCTAATTTATCTTCTTCTTTTTTTATAGAATTAAAAAGTAGTCTTATCCTTCAAAAATATCTTCCAATTTTAAATATTTTTTATTTTTAATTTCAGAAATTTAAATTGATATTTTGAATTCTATATTTTCAAATATTTATGGTAAATCTCAGATGAAAAAAGAGCACTTATCTTTCTCTATTTTTTTTAAATATTATCTATAAAATATTTATTATTTTTAATGTTACTTCTAAAATATTTAAAATTCAAAATATTTTTACTATTTTAAAAATTAAAAATATTTATGTATTGTTTACGATAAAGTTTATTATTCAAATCATGCATAGTGGCAAGTATGTATGACAATAAGAAATCTTCCTTTGTTATAATTCTTTATGTCATTAACTGTGATATTCACACAATATTGAGCAAAAACTATCCATTTGTTATAGGGCCTTACAAATGGAGAGATTTATATAATCATTGATACAACCAAATATCATATTAGGCGCATGAAAGTGAAATGGAACATATCACTTTCATTGTCATAAATATAAATTACCATTAAAATATTTTTTTAATCAATGTCGGTTTTTTAAATAGTTTTATTAATTAGATATAAATTTTGTTTTAAAAGACTTCATCATGAGTGGAGTATTTATTATAGCCACATATTTATAATTAGCTAGTTAATATTTTATTATTCCTTTTCTGATTTTATATTCTTCTTCCTTTTTTTTTGTTTAAAATTATAAAGTATTTTTTTATCTTTTAAATAGATATATTCAGTTTTAAATATTTCATATTTTAAATTAATAGTTTAATTCAATACAATAATGATTCAATTTTATGATAAATCTCAGATAAAAAAAGAACTTACCTATAAATCCCTTATTGTGGATTCATTTTAATATTCATAAAATATAAAAATAAAAATAAAATATAATAATGATTCAATTTTTATCTCTCGAATATCAACATAATTCATAAGCCATAAATTTTGCTTAAATGAATTATTTTATTGCAAATTGCAATGTTAATGACATATTTTTCCTCCTTTGTAAATCATCTGCAATGAAATGAGGAAAAATACGAAAGAAAGTTCATAAGCCATAAATTATGCTTAAAATGAATTAATTTAATCAATTTGGTTCAATTTTTGATTCAGATAAAATATATCTAAGATCTTCATATACAACATATTTTCTTGATAAAAAAAGAAAACAAAAAAGAAATAAATACTTTAAAAACTGGTCAATATTGTCAATCTTACACTCTTGGCTTGGCAATAAGTAAAATGGAAGTTGATCTTTGAAGATTAGGTTGAACTAAAGTTTCATCATAATGGCCTGAAATGCAGAAATTGGCATGATCATCCGGCTCCCAACAAACAATAAGGCTTTGGATTTTTGTTTGAATGTGATTTTTGTTTTACACATTTTTGATGAATTGGTTTAAAAAGGTGTGGATGATGTAGTTTAAGTAGTATTTTTTAAAAAAGATGTGGGTTAGGAAGTTTAGACGTTTTTTAAGGGATAAGATTAGTTAATATTTGAAATTCAAATTCGAAATTGATTATTTAATGGATGTGGGTTCTTTTCATTTAAATTTTTTTGGATTGGAAGTTTTTTCTTTATATTATTAACTGAGGTGTGTTATATGGATATAATTTAATATAAAATGAAAAAAAACACACAACCCCATTTAACGTAATCAGATCCACAATTTTAACTTATTTTTATAAAAAAAATTTGATAATCAGTTTTTAAGTTCTTATTTTTTGATTATTAATTTAAAATAAATTTATAAAAAAATAAAAAAGAAACTACCCCATTAAAAAATAAAAAAACCCACTCATTTCACCTACGAATATCCACAATTTTTAACCTTTTTTTTTTTTTTAATAATCAGTTTTTAAATAAAAATTTAGTTGGTTACTTCTTTTTATTATTTTTTTGTTAATTTTAAATACAAATTTTAATTTTTTTAAAAAAAATTGCTGGATTTTTGTGGTGCTGACACGTGGCACTTTTTTCTTCTCCTATTATATATAGATAGATTCTTCAATTGCAACTTCTTATTTTAAATCGACATGTGTCAGTTAATTTTAGTTAAAAAAATAAAAATTAACAAAAAATAAT